GTTACGGACATTACGGCAGTGACTTTGCTTGCCACAATGATGCAACTGTACAGTCAGATCATCCTGAGGCGAGCCGATGTCGTTAGTCCGCTGGTGTGGTTGAGAGGTTCCGGTCGCCTGCGGTTCGTCGACATCCTGGTCCAATATCCAGCGTTAGATGCTCTCCCTGCGTGTGCACAGTCCCAGAGAGTTGTACTCACCATCGCGCCTATCGTGCCTGTTGCGAGATCCAGGGGCTGGGAGGAAGCGCCCTCATCCCGAGCGTTATCGGGGGGAGACCTGAGCTTCCTGAACTCATCGCCTATCTTTTTACGAACAGCCATGACGATTCACGTGTGTACCAAGTGTTCCAGCTGTTGAGTAGATGTGCGTCGATGGTGGCGATAGTCAGAGGGAACGGGGAAGGAGAGCGAGCACACTCAGTGGAACGGCTTTAGGTGGGCGAGCCCTCATGAGCATGCATGCCGTTTCAGCGTGCTGTGCGAAACCCTACTCAGTCGAGATACCTTCATTGGTTACATAGCTCTGAGAGCTAAAGCGGGGCCGCTGCGGGGATCTACTGATGTTCGTAAGAGCGGACGGTTGAATTGGCCACAGCATGATGTTGATGAGTATACTTCAAGGAAAGAGTGTTACAGCGAATGTGTTTCCCGAGCAATTGGAGTTGACTAAGGTGCATCACAGGTCCCCTCGGGTAGCCCTTAGCGTAGGTCCGTCGTCCGAATCTTGCGCATGGCAGCTCAACAATGCGTTCCAGCCGAGCTGCAAAGATCCGAGTTGTAGAATTTGGCTATCGATGCAGCGCAAAACAATCGGGATGGGAAATTGGACGCATTCCGGACGCGTGGCTTTTGCAGCTTGTCGTAGCAGCAGTCAAACGTTGAAGCCCGCGGTCGACGATTCGCGCGAGACACCAGCCTTTGGTCTTGCACCGGTTGCACCGCTACCTCGTTCTGTTGCATACTATACATGCGTGATCATCAACTACGCCCAAGATTGCTATCAAAGCCGCCCATATAAGCCGATACAGCCATCCTCTACTGCCGTCGGATTATCCGCGCCTTCAGGGTCCAACATCTGTGCCAGCTCGGACTGAACCAGTTCATTGCGCAGTTGATCACAAGATCGATCTTTTGCGCGCAACGGGCTGACTCGGATAAGGGATAATCGAAGCCGACGAAGAGTGTATCTAGGTACGCGCAAAGATGGAAGGACATGCGTAGCCTGTTACAAGCTCTTTTCGCACCACAGCGTGCGCAGTCAGGAATCAGAGCTGTCGGAGGTAGTGGGCAAATCTGTGCGTACACCTCGTTCTGTCGCTCGATCGTGTCCAAGTTCATTGAGGAGCCTGTACAGGGTCTCCGAGTAATTATGACTTAGAGGACGATGTCGATTTCTTCCCCGAAGACCAGACGGTGCCATCCACGGATCCCCCGGGCCATTTTATGAATATACACGGGGAAGGGCGTAGGCCCAGTACACCAACTCTTGCCGGAGTACCACATTCAGAACTGTCGACAGAAAGTACCTATGTGCGTCACTTTGCCGAAGCTGCATTGCCTTCACGGAGGCTCACACATGTACGCGACAGTCCTTCCAACTCTCTCGAACCGTCATATACGTCGAGACCCTACTGGCCTGTTCATTAGCGAGCCGACCGTGTCAGCGCGTGCTCTAGTCGGCCGGATTTACCCTTGGCATTGATATCCACGAAGGCCAGCTGCCTCCCCTAGTTGCGATCCTCGAACTGTGCAAAGCAAACGGGCATGTGTTGGAGGGGTGCGGAACGTTCAACCAACCCTGTCGGATGGCGTTAATTATGATGCAAGGGTAGATGCATCCTGGTCGAAGGAAAACAATCCGGACGGTGAGTGTCGCTCTTGCATGGCACGTCACGCTGGTCCTCAAATTGGCTTTTATCGACGCAGACCAACTTGGGGTTCTATCATAGAACGTACGCTAGCTGGCCTTCGTTAACAGCGCGTAAACTGGTGGAAGAGCCTTCTTGAAGCTACGGCGCCGGCGTCGTCGACAGGATAAGGACCCTTGCATGGCGGGCGCTGTGCGAATGGAAGCAACAGCACTCCCAACGCAAGTTGTTCCAGCCACTCCCGTCCACCACTCCGCAGGTCAATCTAGCGTACGATGCGGGCTCGCTGCCGTACCCCCCTGCAGAAGCCCGATGACGGCCGGCCGGGCTGCGGACGCATCTGCTGTGACTGAAGCCGCGTTTCAACTGCGGGCGTCGGACGCATTCGCGTCAAGTCTGGCATGCGACAGGGCATTGCGTTCAGGTATTGCGAACGTTGTCGTAATGGGTACCTCGTACTTTACCCAGCTGTGCGGGTTGAAAGGTACTCAAGTCAGACGTGTTGGACAGGTGTAAACTATGATACATGTTCAACAATAAATGGGCTCACGCACGGCTATGAACCCATGTGCACCGTTCAATCATATCTGTTGTACCGTTGCTAAGGTTGAAAGATCATGATATCTTCAGCATGCCCGGTTCTGTATCGCACAGTAGCGGGAATAAATTGCCTTAGCCTGACTTCGACGTGACGCGGCACGCTCCGGAGGGATTGTTCAGGCACCCGTTCTGCCCGAGGAGTCGACCAGCGAGGACATGAAGTCTGTTCACGATCCCCTCCCGCTTCCCGTTCCGACCCCCGGCCGTTCCAGATTCGGGCTGGACCGCGCCCCTCGTGGTCCATCGCATCGATACTCGCGGTGCCAAAACTCACAAGGTCATCGTCGACGGAGCATGCTCGTCCCGTGCCCCTCGATGCCACGTTCAACGTACTGGTGGAAGTAGCACCTGCTCAGACCAGCCATGAAAGACCAAGGGAGAACGAGGGAGGATTTGAAGATGATGCGAAACTCAGATCCTACGGGTAGGGTGTGAGTGTCGACGAAGAGAGAGCGGGAGGGGGACGGAGAGGGATCGCCGAATCGAAGCTATGGGTGCACCGGCGCCGCTGATGACGTCCTGAGTAGGTCATGTCCTGCGTTAGGTCGTTATCGAAGATGATGTTGAACCGATGCAAATGGCCGAGATACACCAAGAGCGTGTACCAGCAAGGAAAGAGGGACGAGGAAAACCGCGCACCTTGATCGTGGTTCTTCGGACGATCGCGGCAACGTCGGAGACCTGGACGAGCAAGCGGCTATGGTACTTCCGCTGATTGGCAGGTTCATGTTGGAGGACAGAGGGCCAAGTACGTTGCCGCGAGTTAGGCTACAGGAAGGGTGCATATATGCGCTCGTCAGCGTGCGTGAATTTCGAGTCGGGGAGAGAGGGGGGGAGGAAATTAGAGATGAAAGGCTCACCAGGACTGGACGTGTAAACATGCACACTCGCCCACTCTCGGATTGGCATGTAGACTTGAGGGAGATCCGGCGGGAAGGTGACGATATCGCCCCGCATGGGCAGCGCGTATCTCCGGCTATACTGGGCCCAGTCGGTCGGAGCTTCTTCGTCTTCGGAGGGCCGGTCACCATTCCGATGGGTCAATTTGACGACGACAAGAAACTTGGAGCGGACGAGGAGGCGGGACAGTGGCGATGGTGCTCCGGTCTTGGGGATATCCGGTGCGGAGAGTCTTGGAGGAGGGATGAGGCGCGGGCGCGAGGATGAGGTACACGGCTAGCGCACGCCCTGCTTCACCAGATGCAGTTTGTCGTATCGGATCATAGCGTCGATGGTGATGGAAGAGGGAGGCGAGACGCGGTGGAGTGAAATCAGGGGACAGACGACGTTGCTCGTCGGGACGGCCTAGGCGACCGAGGTGTTGGGATCCTGAGGTCGGCGCATTGCTTGGTGTACTCCTAGTCTGGAGCGCAGGATGAGAGACGCGCAATCCATTGAGGACCCCAGGAAGCGGGATGGAGACTCGATATTGCCCGGATGAGCTGGTGACTGGTGAGGCCGAGTGAGCAAACGAACGTAGTCGACCAGCACATTCCAAACACTCGCACCAAGTATCGACATATATCTCTTGCTCGTATTCATCCCCGTTCCCCTCCAGCGAGACGCAAGTCCTCGATCTGACTTGCGATGCGTACATCTTGACGTGCGGCCCTGGTCCGGCGCGGAGTGGCCGAGAGAGAGACGCGCCTTCGGCCGAAGCCTCTCCAGCCCTTCTCCTTCCGTCGCCATCTTGCGACACCGGCCGAAGCACCTCTGCAGGTCTGCCTCCTACCGGCTTCGCCACCAGCTCCGTCTGCTGCAACCTGCATCGTGTTCGCCGTTACTGTCTTGCTCTTCGACGATGTCCATAGCCAACCAACTGCGGCTCTCTTATCCAAGATCCGCTCCGCAACCGAACCTGTAGCTCCCACCACTACCATCGGACCACTGATCTCCCTCGATCCCAGTTCCAGAAACGAATCGGCCGGTAGCAGTGCATCGCGTGGATGCCAACATGTACGAGCATGCTCATCCACGCCGCGCCCGTTTGCATGGTACACGCCCGAGCGTTTACAAGGTGAGTCCTTCCGGCTACTCAGGAGAAGGGGACATCGAGGCTGATAGACGGCTTGTTATATCCTAACAGCGTTTGAACGATGTCGCGTGCTCTACGAAGTGTGGACACGTCACAACGTAGCTGATGCTGGATAAACCAGTGCGTGCTCGTCATTGCGCCCACCTGCCGTGTTTCTAATGTGTACCAGAGGATAAAAATGCCCTCGCATCCGGCAGACAAGACCACGACACCAACCACGTCCCCAGAGCGCGCTCTGCATCGCGGGGAATCGCTACTCCCATCTCGCTCCTGGACACCAACTCGTCTCTGTTCACCACATCGGCCATAGTACTCGCGAACAATCCGACACTTCGTATTTGACTGAAAATTCGGCAGCGCGTGCTCGAGAAGGCCGCATACCATCGCTGACGTTGCGATCGGCACAAGTTCGCGACGCCAGTACAGGGAAACGGGTACGTGTATGCATTTCAGGTGCGTAGGATCTTCAAATCTGCGAAGTCGTATCGTACTCACGATTATGTGCATATAGGCGCATCATACGTGGAAGCTACAACTCGGTCGGTGCGTGTTGTCGGTGCGGCTCGTTATGTTGGCTCTTATATGAACGTATATCTCCGAAGTCGCAGCGGAACCACTTTCAGAGCTCACCCTGGCTGCCACTCGCTACACATGCAAGCGAGCACATGGACCAGGAGGTACACAGATATTTAACCCTTGACATTGTACGTCTATTCCCAGATCATCTTCATTACTTTATATTGACCTCGTTGGTGAAGACGCGTCACCCGCAGTCCCTCCTCGTGTCCGAATTTCCAGGCACCTCTTTTCCCCAATTTTGCGCCAGAGCGAATTGCGCGCTTCCGCGCCTGTATAATCTCACCGCCGGCGACGGTGCTCGTATATCGCTTCAGTTGGCTTCCAGATCTACAGCAGCAGCCGTCTTCGCAACCGACGACGAAGGCCATGTCATCGCGAGGCGCACGCGGGGCATGTCATCGCCCGCAGCGGCTTCACCATCCGCGGTTGCACAAGTTCAACGGCACGTACCATGGCTGGTCTTGTCCTCCACGGCGTCTAGCGCAAATGGATGTGGGACGTGGGACTTGGAGTGTCGTTCGCCGTCGTGGTGGAGGAAAAGCATCGGCGAGAACAGGGGCGTCGTCCGTTGGTCGTAGTCTCGTGCATCCCGACGCCGCGCTCGTCCACGAGAAGCTCCGGTGCAAATCCAACAGGTGGACCTCGCTCAGCTACACGCACCAACTGCCGCTCGAACTGGAAGATGCTCAACGCCGTCTGCTCTACGTCTGACGTTGCACCGACCGCGATGGCGGCCAGCAGCGCCATGGAGGCATTCGTTGGACGTTACGGTTACCGAGAGCTAGCGCAACCCGCTGTCACGGAACACGTTTACGCTCAGTCTCGCGTGAGACAAGTTCTTCAGGAGGACTTTGGGTGCCGTCTACTTCGGCAAGCGAAGGTCTCGGGCCCATAGTTATGCCCCGTTACTGTGATCCTGCGGTCTGGAAGGCGCCCTAGTTAGACGTCTTGTCCTAGCTCGCTCGTTTGTCGTGATGTGTTCAACGAGACGTGGACTTGCGGACCGTGATCTTTGTTCTTCGACAAGTTGCCATTACATACTACATGATACGCTAGTCTCTAAGCTTGAGAGTAATGATATCTTCTGCATCGCAGAACACCAGTCCGATCATTCATCCCCTTCAATCTCCTCTTGGCATCGGACTAAGGATTTCACGCATACGGCGCCGACATCTGGGAGGCCGGGGCATACCCGCCATCTGCTACTCATACCTTGTCCCCCAGCTGCAACGTTGTCGGCGGTCTCCCCCCAGTGGTCGCTTTTGCGTGAGGGATCCTATCACTTGCGTGCTGTATTAAAGAGTGACGCCGATCAATAGCTTTCTCCTGGATCTTATCGAATAGTGCACCGACTTTAGTAGATGGAGTAACTGGAGGCGGGGACACACCCGTTGTGCTCTTCAGGTATATAACGGGGTACATAGTCAATGGTCTCCGGCTTCTATGAGGACCACCTTGATTTTTGAACGAGAGCCCTGCTGCATGAAGCCGGCTGCCAGTGCTGCGTCACGAGATGAACGGCTATGGAGAACGACGCGACCGAACAGCAAAACGAACCGAGAAATGTGATCAGAAACGCTAGATGGAGCTACTCTGGATACTCACCTACGCCATCCGTTAAGCCTCACGAGCATGCTGTCCGCACACGGCTTGGAAAGTGCTCTTCCGTTGCCGCCTCGCCTTTTGCCCCGACGAGCGCGGATCCACCTCTTGAAAGTACCGAAAGGGCGAAGACCTTGAAGCCCTTAACGAGCCTCTTCCCACTCCGACTGCTAGACGTCGCACGTTGTATGAAACCCGGGCTTAGACCGTAGGCCTTTCGGGTCTTCGCGATGCACGCGATCTTGAAGTGCGAGGCCACTGTTTCCCGAGGAGCAGAGCACGCTGGTGTCGAGCATTCCAGCATTTGCGCTCTCGGCGCACCAGCGCTGCCCGTACGCGGAGGTGACCGTAGCTCGGATCGGTAGCAGGAGACGGAGACGACGTCTGGCAATACGATGATGCCGCGCGACTCGGGTCCTAGAGAGGTGAGGGTTAGTTGAGGAAGAAAAAAAGGAGGGGACACGGTGAAGAAGGACCGAGACCAACCGTCGGAATGCGCCTGTGCCGTCGATAGAGCCCTGGATAGAATCCGCGCTGCGTTCGTCGCGTACGTTCTTGACGGCTGCGACCGGAGGTTCGATGTCAGTCTGACGGGATCGAATGTTTGCATGAGGACGATGCGAACCCTTGACGAGGTCACCGGTTTGCAGAAGAGGGGCACGTTCCACTGCCGTCGACCATAGCCATGAACAAGTAGCGGTTAGCGTGCAATTCGCGCATTTGATGATGACGCAAGTCGTCTCGAGGTGGGGTGTTGAGGATCGGTAGGCAGTGCGTCGAGGTGGAAAGTACCTGCAGCATGTACACGTCAGCGACAATCGTGACGGAAGTGTGCAAAAATCAGAAGAGGGAAGGGCCCACGCAATAGGAATATGCCATGACTAGAGCGAGCACGTAAAGATAGAGGAGCATGGAAGATAATGTAGACGTGCACACCTCGGTCAGCCTTGCGGGGAGCCACACACAGGATATTCAAGACCCGAATGAGCGAGCGGATACGATCTTCCGTGATGCTGAAGAGCGGCCGAAGTAGAGCCACTCCAGTGCGTTCGTCGTGAGGCCGCCTACGGAGGGTACGCATATATGCCAGTGTCAGCATCCGTGGACTGTGGAGCGAGTACGGAGGGTAGAGACGAGAGAGGAAACACGTACCGGCCGTGCATACGATTGCTGCTCCTGATGAGCAGTATCGTCCGCCTCCCGTCCACTCCGCTCGACAACTGTCTGTCCGGTTCGAGGGTGGGCACAAAGGTCACGGTGTTCAGGCCCATCGTAAGTATATCCGAGCTCGATGTCATCACTGGACTGCGCGCCTTTGGGCGAAGCGTCTTCGTGTCCAGAGGACGGGTCGCCGTGCCGGTGGACTACGTTGAGGGCGATATGGTATTGGCGGACGAGAAGGAGGCGTGATGACGGCGGTGACGGTGCCATGACGCCGATGTTGAGGCGGAGGCGGACAGAAAGGTGAAGCGCATATGCTCATAGATGGACTGCATCGCGTCCGGGACAGAGTGTTGTAGTGGAGCATGACTAGGGTGAAGGAGAGCAGAGGCGTCCTGTCCAAGGTGATCGGTCGATGAGGCCGCTGGTCGGGGACGGCACTTCGATGGCGGCGCGTGCGGTCGACGCGTTCTTGAACTCCAGAGGTGCGCTGGACCGAGCAGGAGGGGTATCTGACCTGTTCAACGTACGGTGCTCGACTGCATGACACAACACCAGGTGAGCGAACGACCGTCATCGATTCACGCAAACTCGAGCACTCACGCTAACGATGACCATCAACTATTCTTCGGGTCCGTCCTCGTTCCCATATCGCCCAGCGCGAGTCTTCAGTTTGATTGGCGTACATCTTGGCACTATGAGCCCTAGAATGGGTTGCTACCACCCACATGAAGGGGGATATCAACCATTCACCCACGGTCTGGTCGATATGTGGTTGATTGAGGCCGTATGGGTGATTACCTTGGATCACCCACTTTGTGGTTTGCTGTATACAATCATCCACAGTTCCAGTGAACAGTAATGTCGACGAAGTCCATGGGTGATTTTCACCCACTGTACCAGTGGGTCGTGCCAATGCTTGCTGCACAGCAGCGGCAACCCGTGCACAGCTTCTCATTTAACTGTTGACTCCCGCCATCATCCATGGCCAAACGATGGGCTCACTCTCGCCATGGCCCAGGGCACGGGCCTTGGTAGAGTCATGCCACTCTCTGAGCAGGCTCAGAGAGTATGGGTCGGGAGATGGGGTGTGCGTCTATAGCGGGTGTGCCCACCGCTGCAAGATGAACCCCCGGACGACCTGACATGCCAACTCCCCAGCGATCTATGTGTCCCTACAGCGCTGTGCGGGCTTTGGGTACGTCTGCTACACTGTGGTCTACGGTACGTTCAAAGTTCTGCCGGAACGTTCTTTCTGGTGGCGCATGTGAGCGAGCGCGACGAATCCTTCCTGGCGCGCCGCAGGTCGCTGACCTTCCTCTGACGCAGATCGTCCGACGCTTCTTTCTATCTCCGTTGAGAAAGATACCAGGGTCCAAACTCGCCGCCCTGACGGACATCTGGCTCATCTGGAACAGTACGCACACCGTACTCACTCGCACGTTACGACCTCTTCGCTCGCTCAGATTCTTTTTTTTTTCGTCTGTAGCCATACAGTCCCGAAGCGCGGCGGCGATCAACGAAGCGTTCAACGTGCGTGTGCTTCCACACCTGTGCGAATGCCGTTCGTGCCGCTGATCCTTCTGCGCAGGAGTACGGCCCCATCGTGCGCATAGGCCCGAACGCCGTCGCGGTGCGCGGTCCCAAAGACCTGAAAGAGATCTACACGACGCACAAGTATCGCAAGGACGCGCGCGTCACTCGCGCCCGCCTGCACGACCTCCAGAACATCACATCCGTGACGTGAATATGACCTTTTCTCTCTCTCGACATATAAAAGAAAACCTGATTTTTGACGACGCTGTTGACGCGCGATTTCGTGATTTCGTGCGAACACAGAGAACCCGCCGCCCATGGCCGGATGCGCCGCCTGACCAACCCGCTCTTCGCAAGCGACAGCCTCCGATCGCTCGAGCAGCCCCTGGTGACGACGCTCGAAAAGCTGTTCGGCGTGCTCGACGACAGCATATCCCGCGGCCGCGCGCTGGATATGTGGCCCGTCAACCGCCACTTCGCGTTCGACATGTAAACCTCTCTCTCTCTCTCTCTCCACCCCCCTCCCCTCCCTCCTCCCCTACTAGAATGAACGTCTCTGACGATCTCCGCGACGCAGATTGGGAGAGGCCGCCTTCGGGAGGGACTTTGGCGCGCTTGCGTGAGTCGCCGTGCGTTTCCGTCTGTACGCGGGATCGGTGACTCCTGACCGTGTCTCTGTCTCCGCTTGCAGCTCCGGCAAGAACCCGCAGTTTATGGTCGACATGGACCTGGCCGTGACGGCGATCGCGATGAAGATGTCGGTTCCTCCGTGGGTGTACGCGGCGCTGCGAAAAGTCCCCGTGCACTCGTTGCGGAACATCGTCCAGGCGGAGGAGCGCCTGTTGGAGGTACGCTCGAGCACACGGGGATCCTGGGTTTTCTCTCGTCTGATGACGCGGCTTGCACTTAGTTTGGTCAAAACCTGATAAGGGAGTACGAGAAGGGAGGTGGCGGAAGCGGCGAAGAGAAGGGGCGCTACAACATGATCGCCCACTTGTATGATTCTACGGACCCGGTGACCGGAACGAGTATGTCCGAAGAGATGCTCGTGTCCATGGTGCGCATAGTTTCCTTGTTGTGCCTTGCGCTGATCGATGACCTGTTTACGCAGTGTGTCACATACATCATCGCGTGAGTCCTACACGGCCCGTTTTGCATTCGACGCACCGACGGGCTATCTCGAACAGCGGCACAGACACCACCGGGACCACCCTGTCGTGGTCCGTACTCCCCTGCTTGCGCGCCAAGGTAGCCCGTTGACGTTCCTCCAGGCTGATGTGGGCGCTTGCGAGCCACCCGCACGTCTACGACACGCTCCGCGCCGAGCTCATCGCAGCCTTTCCCGATCCCGGCGCGTTCCCCGACCTGGCGTCGCTCCGGAAACTGCCCTACCTGACCGCCGTCATCAAAGAAGCGCTGCGGCGCTACCCGGCGACGCCGATCTACCTGCCCCGCGTCGTCCCCGAAGGCGGCGCGGTGCACCAAGGGCACTATCTGCCCGCCGGGACGGTAAGCATGAACACTGTATCTTTTGTCAAGCACTGAAGCTCTATGTCACAGCGAGTACGATTCGGCCAGACAGGCCCAACATGACGAAGACCGTGAAAATCGTCCTCCAACCGAGCTTCCAGCTTCACGCACTTCCTCCTCCGATACAGCAGCAGTCGCACAACGGCCAAAGCCTCGTGCAACGTCGACGAAGCGCAAGAAGACGCAGCCAGCGGCCGCAGTTCAATCCGAGGCTTCCGAAGGTCAGGCGCCGGAAGCTGCTTTACGCCGCAAGCGAACGTCGACGAGGGCTGCGGGCAAGCAGCCTGCAACCCGTGCAGGCACTGCAGCTGTGAGAGCTGAATGAGCTCCAGTTATGTATATTTCGAGGATCTTTGATGTGGTATCGAGACAAAGAGTTCCGGAGTGGATAATACAGTCATTGAATCATAACTGAGCCCTGTACAGTGGCCGTAAGTGCGAAAGGGACGAGAGCGCAGGCAAACGCGGGGAACGAGCGCGAGCGCGGCGCTGGCGCGATCGCGATCGATCGGTTCCAATTTGGGCAAACCGTGCGACCGGCGAGGCCAGTGTACAGTGTCCAGACGTGGGCTATACGCACAGCCCATGGAATGGGTGATCCTGATGGGTGAACGCTCGTACACTACGTGTGGTTTAAATCGGACATACACTGGATGAAAACCATCCATCGCACTTCATCCACATGACTGGGATGCACCTCCCATGCTCTGGGTGAGATCAACCCACTTCGGTGGGTAAAATATTGGTTGACTTTCAACCATTCCGAGTAGCACAGTGTTGGGGTGCGACGGTAGCAGAGAGAGCGTCGCGCGTCGCTTCACGTTCTTCCACATTTCGGCAGCCTACTCACCTTCGTACTCGCAGATCTACACTCGCCTGGCAATACGATTCTATATCTCCTTGGCTTTTCATCTCTGACTCCTCTATCGCATGCCTGAGACTCGCCGGAACAGCGCCCCTAGGGCGTCTATATGACCACTCGCAAAAGCCCTGGCCCACCCCTAATCATCAAGCTCGGAATTCCATCGACATGCTCAATTGCATGATGTCGTTTACGGGCGCTACTGCCCGAACGCCGCCTGTATACTGCTCGCTCAGCGGGTCTCCGGCGTCATGGCCCCCCGAGAGGTCTGAGAGAGGCCGATGAAGGCCTGCATCAGTTTCGCGTCGGACGATAGTGGGACGTTACCTCACCTGAAGGCCCAGCAGATATACGCAAATAACGCTGTGCGCTCTGCTAAGGCACGCATATCAACGGGTGGGGCCCGAGATGCTTTCCTTCGCGTTCATCCCGTCCGCTGCTTCGTGTCCTCATACACAAGCAGCCCGTAAACAGCCGCTCGAGGTGCTGAGGCGCGGGCATGCGAAAACCTCTTCGACCGGGACCACTGGCGACTCTGTGCATCAAGAACGGCCATTCCGGTCCGTGCTGCACGCACGCCGTCAACGCTTTCTTGGTACGTTATACACCGTTCGTTTCCCTCCGAGCAGTAGCGCACGCCGCTTGTTCTGTATGACTCATCCATCTTCATGACGAAAACCCCGCCTTACCCCGCAAACCGACCTATACACCCTACATCACACCTGCGGGGTCCACGACCCGACCGAATGCAGCGCAGGCACGAAACATGGTGAATGACCTCTTGCGGGACCTCATAATGTTCAACGCGACTATCGGTTCCAAAATCGGTGCCAGCGGAACGCCGGCGCAGCCCGTCACGTATTCGATGAAGGTTGAGATACGGCGGGAGCAGTGCAGGTGCGCAATGATCTCGTTCGCCAAAGATCGAACGGCGTACTGATGAGCAGTTTCCCGGCACTACAAGGGCAATTGCATGTACTCGCGGAGGGTGTAAGTCGGGTGGTGAGTTTCGCTTGGCGGTCACGCCGCGTTGCATATCTGAGTCGTGTTCGCCATCCTAGATGAGACCAACACCAGAACTGCGCGCACGCGGACTTTTGCCAGAGCCGTCATCAAGCGCTTCGTCACGGAGTCAGCCAAGTACGCGGCTTCGGTATGCACTTGCTATAGGAGACCAACAGGGGACTGATGATGGATCCTGTGTCTCGAGCCGTAGAATAGATAATGCGATGCTGAAGCGTAAAGAAAGCTGAATAGAGTCACGTTATCGCGTATCGTACAAGTTAAGTCGGCGCGTCTTAGTCTAACCGTCCTGATTCTACTCTATCGGCAACATTGCTCCTCTCATTGATCCTATCATCCTACACCGGGGGACCGTGTTCGCGCAGGAGAACACTCATCTCACCACCGCGCCGCCGCCCTACTCGAAGCACAGTAATCGAAACAGTCGGAGGTAGCAAAGCATGCCTTGTGCGGCTCCGCACCGACTAGGCCTTCATCAACGGCGATACCTCACCTTTCCCAACGCAACTTCCCATCTGACGAAACCAACCTCAAGGCGAAGGCAACCTCTCGGGGCGAGGACGCGATTGGACGGGTCGACGCGAGTCGGGCGCGTATATGCCAGTAGTGGCTGGTGGGTAAGGCGGGTAACATGGGAGCATGTACGATCGTCGTTGGGCCCGAGGACTACATCAGCAAATGTACTGTACAACAAGTATTTACTACCGGATTTCAATGACCAGGACCGTGGTCATCGCCTTGTCTCTCCAGCTAATGACACTATATGCGCTCAACACAAAGTCTGTCCACCCCCGCGCGTCACCAATGCGTGTCAACCATATTCGAGAACTCGGCGGCCCTGAAAGGTGAACAACAAGATACCTCCACTCCACGATATCCAACGAACCACTCGCCGGCTCACTCAAGATGTGCCCTCCTCGTAGCACTCGGCCCACTTCTCGCCGTGAGCAAAGCTGCTCAGGTCAAGCGTGGTCACTCCGTCCCAAGGTATCATGATCCGCCTGTTTTGCGGCATGAACAGCATTTCGCGGTTCTGTAGCGGTATCCAGATCAGGCGCCGATTGTCAGGTCCCATGAGCCAGCCGTCGTCCTTCAGCGTGAACGAATCCTCGATTTTGAACCGTGACATCTGTTCAGCGCCAGGGACAATAAGCTGAATGTTGGCGAGAGCGTGATCCTTGTTCGGCGAGAACGATGCGGACTGCGTTTGGGTTGAGAACACGCAATCGTCTACTACGCCGGACAGCGAATGTGAGTGAGATCAAGTGAAACGTTGAGGTGACGCACCCCGTAGTCCCTCGACATCGTTAGCCTGCCCCATCGAGGCATCCCAGAACCGGATCGTGTCGTCGTTGCTGCATGATATGATGCATTTGCCATCCGGTGAAAATGCCACTGTCTGGACCCAACTTGTGTGACCCCGAAACGGCTCGCGGATTGGCTTCCCAGTGATTGCGTCCCAAACGCGAACTGTACAATCCTTTCCGCCCGAGGCCACGTAGCGTCCGTTTGGCGAGAAAGCGATGGAGTTAACCCAACGGCCCTCGCCACGCCAAGGACCGCGGATCGTCTGTCCCGTGGCAGAGTCCCAGATCCGAATGACGCCATCTTCGTCACCGGACATGAGATAAGCGCCATCGGGCGAAAAGGCAACGCAGTTTACCGAATCGGTGTGCCCCTCCGATGGTGCGCATACAATCTGACCTGTCTCGACGTCCCATAGGAGTATTGTGTTATCCCGTGCGCCCGATGCGATGCACTTCCCATCTGGTGAGAATGCAAGGGATGCGACGTGAGAAGTGTGATCGAGAGGTTCCTGCGAACGCTCCCCGGTGGAGATGTCCCATAGGTGTATAATCACTTCTGAGCGGGACAATGCGATATATCGCCCGTCCTGAGAGATTGATGCATGCGCAGGGTTTGACCAACCAGATACCAAGGTTGGAACTGTGAAATGGCGAATCTGTTGACCGGTGGAGACTTCCCACACGCGAACTGTGCCATCATCCGACCACGACAAGACGTGCTGTCCATCGGGTAAGAACGCAATGTAGCGTAAGTCGGCGGTGTGTTCCGGCCAGTGATGGCCTTGAACTGGATTTCCCGTTGAGGTATTCCACACATAAATGTCTTTCTTCTGCCAATTGACAATACGCTGCCCATCCGGCGAAACAGCCATACCGCCTCCCAGGCCAGCGTGTATTCTGACAATGTCCTTCTCAGTGCGTCGGGTTGAGGAGTTCCACACACGCACAGTCCTGTCGTATGATCCAGAGACGATGTACTGGCCATCTCCCGAGAACGCTACAGAATTCACCGCGTTGATGTGACCATTCAAAGTCGTGCAAAGTGCTTGTTCTGTGGTGTCCCAGAGATGAACGACACCGTCTACAGAACCGGATACAACGAACTTGCCGTTCGGGGAGATCGCCAATGCTGTGACACCGCTAGTGTGGCCCTGAAGAGGGGACCCGATAGGCTGGCCGGAGTTGGCATCCCACAGCTGCACGGTCTGGTCGCCCGAAGCAATCCATTTTCCATCCTGCGAGAATGCAACAGAGGATGGATAGGATGGATGGCCGCGCAATGGCTCGTGCACAAGTGTTCCCGTTGTGGTATCCCATAAGCAAATCATTCCATCTGTTGAACGTGAGACCACCCAGTTGGAGTCAGGTGAGAAAGCAACGGAATGGACCGAGTCCATATGTCCCTTGAGTGGTGGATGGACAAGCTTCTCAGATTGCATATCCCAAATACAGACCGTGTTGTCATCCGAGCCCGACACAATCCATTTGCCATCAGGAGAGAAAGCGACCGATTGAACCCAATCCGTATGCCCTCTGAGCGTGCGAATATGCTGCCCTGCTTTGGTATTCCAAACCTGAATCATGCTGTCCTGCAACCCCACCACTATGAGGTCTCGCTCTGAGGAGAAGGCGGCAGACCACACATCACTATATGTATCACAGCGCACAGGTCGACGGGCCGGCTGTCCAGTCGCCGCATCCCGAACATGTATAGTGCACCAAAACGATCCGCGCGAGACAAAGAAGATGTGTTTTCCATCGTTCGAGAATTCCGCACAGAGGACGCCGCCATCGCAGTCCATGGTGCATTCGAAGGCGGGCCATTCCGACGGTCCACCGCACACCACCGTAGCTGTTCTGGGGAGCTTCGATTCGTACAGCTGGCGCACTTGTGACCTCGTCGGTGCAAAAGGTATGGCTGAGAGATAAATGTGGGGAGCAGAAGACCCGATCACTACCCCGAAAGCCCGGATGAACTTGAGGAAGTCCTCAATGATTGAGACCGTTTCCAGTCTTTCCGCGGTGTTCTAAGGGCAGAACATGTATGTGAACCGCACAAGACACATATGCATGCAAAAGACACACCTTTGGAATCCACTCCTTGAGCTTTAGGAGTGCCGACGCGCAGGTGGAAACAGATCCTAGAAGACTCAGGAGCTCGAGCCAGAACAGGAACTTGACTTTCAGCAGTTGTTCCGCCATTTGCAGCAGGCAAGAGCCGTATCGAGTCTTCTCAAGATGATCAGCCCAGTAGCGAGTGGAATAAACCAAGCTCGACGTGATCATTTTCCGTACACGATCGTCTAAATCGAGATAGTACGTGTTGAGACGATATGACGTCTCGAGTCCGCACATGTTGATGTGCAACTGCTCGCTCAACAGAAGACGTAGGGTCCCGCGCGCGAATTGTAGATGCTCCTCCTTCCCTGGCTTGACGACAAATTCGTGGCTGCGTTTGGGATCTAGAATGAAGTCTCGAAACGACGTATGCAGAGGGCGCACGACGACGTCCAAGCGATCGGTTCCAGACAGGAGCGATCCCATGCCCGCAAGTACCCCTTCCAGCATATCAGGATCAAGATCTGGCTGTCCACTAACGATATCCTGCAATGCCGAGATGGACAGCGGTTCGACCGCCGTCATGAGGAGACTCATCACCCGATGGAAATTCTCCATGACCTCGGGGTGCGTGGAAGAGAAGGTGGTACGAAGGACTTCCAAGTACAGCGTATCAAGTTGGCCATTAGCCGTGCGTTTGTTATCGGATGGTACAACAAGTGCCATTCTTTGTTTGATGGTCAATGGCGGAGTCTTCGCGACCACGAAACGACACGCTGTAGCAGCCCACTGAAAGAGTCCTTCGGCGGAGCGGACGAGTTGGGTACACATGGCCTCGACATCATGCGCTCTCGAGAGGGACGAAAGCTGCCCACGAACATACAGCTGTATGTCTTCCTCGTTGGCGGTCCCCCCCAGTACGTCGTTCATTGATTGAGCGCGAACAAGGCGCGGATCCCGGACGTCCATGATATCAGGCTCTGGCCTACAAGTGACGAGGATGCGAAAATTGGAGGGGAGCGCATCCCCTTCGTCCGCACTTTGCAAGATTGATAACAGAGTGCTTCGTGTGTTGGAGTCACATTCGTCAAGGGCGTCGATGACGATGACGATCGGCCCAGAGATAGCGAGCTGCGATGCAGGCTCCACGATGAAGCGCCGGAATTGTGTGCGAAGATCGTTCGATGTGGCGAGGGCGGAGTCCTGGGCAATGACACGCGAAAGTTGGAATCGGATCTGAGGCTCACGCTCGGATAGGTCGCGGGCGATAGTAGGGAAAACGGGAGTAGCGTGAGTAAGTTCGACGTTGGACCTGTCAAAGCAATACGAGGATCCCAAGCGAAGCATGTCGTAGAATATAGCTGCTATGGTATGAGCGATCGCCGACTTACCCGACCCCGCCGGCCCATAGAGCAGGAACACGCGACGAGCGTCGAGCGGATCGTTGATCCAGTCGGCTATAATCTGAAGAATTTTCCGACGGGTCCCTGGAAGGCATCTCTTATCGCTGTTAAACCGAGAACCTCTGGCGCAGGCTTCTTCCAACCGCTGCATCTTGACGTCCGCGGCTGATGATAATCGATGGTCAACGCGGCGAAGGACAAGCAGAAGGGTTCCTTACCGATCTCTTCGACGGCGTCCAAGACCCTGTGAACGACGAGATCGACGTTCCCAACGGCGATGGCTGTTCTTATCGAGGATCCGTCGAGGAGCTGCGACTTGAGCTCTGCGAACTTGGCTCGGTATTCCTTCACCATCGCTGGCGCCGCTTGGGCTGGATGGACGAGTTTCTTCAAGGCATTCGAAGCCATTCGTGGTACTGTAATCAAGGTTACGGACACGGCGAGGACGATGTGCAAGGGATCCGGAACGCACAGAAATCCTTGTTTTTCGCATAGTCGTGTACGAACCAGCCGCATTCGGTCGTCTGCTGAGCGAGTGCCGTGAGCAGCTTCGCCGCGGATTTGACGCTGTCCAGAGGCTGAGCCTGATTCATGAAGTCGTATACGTTCTCGAGGGTGTCGAGGAGGTCGTGGATGGATTGGTCGAGTTTGACCTGCCCGATGATGGTCTAAAGGTGGGATTCGTCAGGAGACACGCGTCGGACTAGTATGCGTGACTTGCCTTCTGCACGATTGAGAGAACATTCCACGCCATGTTTGCATAGGGATGAATCTATCACCGCGACCAACATGAGTTCGGAATCACGAAAAATCCGAACCACGAATGATCACCTCGGCAATCTTGTCGACAAGTTCTGTGAACTGCTTAAGACGCCTGAACAACGGTTCCCATTGCTTTCGTGACGAGGCCAGCCCTTGCGCCAGGTCTTTCCGTTCGTCGACTGCCGCGGCGCCTCGTTCCACCAGTGTATCAGATTGCATGGTGGCGATTTCTTTCTTGGCCTCATCAATGGCTCGCCGCGCGACGGTCTGCTCCGATGATCGATATCCTCCGGCTTCTGCGATTGCGCGACCTGAGTGTTTCTGTGTGTTACGGACATTAGGCAGTGACTCTGCTCGCCACAATGATGCAACTGTACAGTTAGATTGTCCCGAGGCGAGCCGATGTCGTTGGTCTGCTGGTGTGGTTGAGAGTTTTCGGCGGGCTGCGGTTCGTCGATATCCTGTCCAAGATCCAGCGTTAGATGTATTGCCAGCTCCTGCGCAGTCCCGGAGAGGCGTCCTCACCATCGCGGATACCGTTCCTGTTGCGGGATCCAAGGGCAGGGAAGAAGCGCCCTCATCCGGAGCGTTATCGGGGGGAGGCCTGAGCCTGAACTTATTGCCTTTCTTTTTACGAACAGCCATGACGATCTAAGTGTGTACCAAGAGTTCTAGCTGTTGAGTAGATGTGCGTCGATGGTGGCGATAGTCAGAGGGAACGGGGGAGGAGAGCGAGCACACTCAGTGGAACGGCTTTAGGTGCGCGAACCCTCATGATCATGCATGCCGTTTCCGCGTGCTGTGCGAAACCCTACTCGGTCGAGATACCTTCATTGGTTACATAGCTCTGGGGCTAAAGCG